TACTGAAAATCGTTATCGTAACAGAAATTATCAGTGAATCTGTTAAGTAGATACGTGAAAAGCTCATATATAATCATTTTTCAAATGACATATTTTCTGCGAACATGTTGTTGTTGAAAAGAAATTAATGTTTTGAAAATCAAACTTGAATTAAAGGCCTTACAGTAGTGGTTTCAAATTTAAGAAGGGGTTAACCAAAATATTTATACTTTTCAATGAAGTGTTGGGTTACATTTTCAGAATTCACGTGATTGTCAATTTCATTCAATCAACTTGTTTTTATTCTCTACGTGATATGCATGCATCTTAAAAGCTTGTTATGACAACCCTGCTGAGAAAACATAATAAATCGGTAGTCTTCCGCATGAAAAAGTGCAGCTTAGTATAAAAGACATATGATCAAAAACTTTCATGCATTTTTATAATGTGTTTTTATACTAATTTTAAACGTTTTGCCAAAAGAATGCAAGTTTTTATTTAGATATGAATGAGAAATAAAATGCAATACTTATGATAATCAAGACCTAATTTATTTTTTCTTTTCGTATAAATTTCCTTTTCCAGATGAAAAATATGACGATCAAGAGCATAGGCGATATGATTTTAATATGGTACTTTTACAAAATGTGCATAATTTATGAAACAATCTAAAAATAGCTGACAAGCGCAATATGATGTTGCATTTCGACATAGGAAAGTTGAACAAGTGTATAATTAATAGCTGGGGTGACAAAATGAAATAAACACAACACAGTAATATGTTAGAATGAGTTACAAAAACACTAAAAACTGGAAATTTTGTGTATTCGTAGTTTAAGAAAAATTCTATATCAAAAATAAAAATCTGAATTTTCACTGAACTTGACTGATTTCTTATATATTTTGTAAATCCGGTGTTTCGATTATAACAGTAAATTTAAATTTGACAATAATATCAAATAACCTCGAACGAATGTCAGTCTAAGTTTAAACATTTTATTTACTCAGAATGAAATGAATTGGACACAAGAAAACCAAACTTATGAAGTCCGCTTCGAATTACAATATATAACAATACAATGTTAATATGAGCATGCAATATTTCAAAACCTACAACACTTTACGAGGGTAGGGCCTTTTCTCTGGAAACAAAAAATGAATTTAAATAACTTCTTATTTGAAATAAAGAGATTAATCAACGTGAATCTTTATGTAAATTTTGATTTTGGAGTTTCTATTTCAGATTAAGTTCAAATGACAAGTTAAAAGTCGTCACTTCCTTAGCAACTCGTAACTTTATTAAAAAAAAAACACCACCTATAAAAAAAGGATGTTAAGTAAAGTCATTTTTCAAATACACGGACAGATACAAATGTGTTTTCACTGCGGCAGTCACATTAGTTATGACCAATGTCAACTTTCAACTCTTTTGGACTTCAAGAATGAATAAAGGGAGATGTGGAATATTATAAGTTATATGGTTTGCTACTGACCCCCTACGGATCCATAGAGGGTTAGTAAAATCCACAGGAGATTCGGCCGAACCATAGAGGGTTAGTAAAATCCAGAGGAGATTCGGCCGAACCATAGAGGGTTAGTAAAATCCACAGGAGATTCGGCCGAACCATAGAGGGTTAGTAAAATCCATAGGAGATTCGGCCGAACCATAGAGGGTTAGTAAAATCCACAGGAGATTCGGCCGAACCATAGAGGGTTAGTAAAATCCATTAATAGTAAATGTGGCGTCATGAACCCTATGAAATCTACTGACCCCATACGGATCCATAGGGGTCACCACGTGACGATGTTGAACCAATCATAACGTCATAATTTATCCGAGGTGCGATAAGCTTCAATGAGACACCAACCTAACAACATAAAAAAACAAAGGACATCAGTAGATGTCTACACATCTAAGACTCTCTTCCAAACTACTGACAATTTCTATCAAGTTAATTTATCAATTTCGGTAGGTAAACTGCCCCCATCAGAATATTTCAGGACTTTTTCTATTTTCTTTTATCACTTTAGATACAAATGATATAAATATATCATCTGAAGGTGGTAAGTTAATTTACTTTTTTTTAAATTTGATTTAACAGGACAAGTAATATTTACTGATGTGTGAAGAAGGAAAAACGCTATGCATGAAATCGTATGTTTCCTTAAAAGGAATAATCGTGGGGTTATTGTGACTTTCTGTAACTTTGTTATGGGTGTATATGTCATATAATATCTCTTGTGATTTAAATTGATCGCGATTTATAGGTTTTACTAATATCTTTTGTTTTCTATTACAATTTTTTTTAATGATTATATTGAAATTAAAACTCGAATGAAGGATTATTTTTTAACATGATGAACTAGATGATACAGTTGCAAATACGTTTCTAAATTAATACAATGCTTTTTTGTCAAATGACCTTCGAAAAATTTTAAACTAATTTATTTACATACTCAAATTACACATTTAAATCCTACATGTACAAGATCAATATCGCTTTTGTGTCGTTTGTATTCATGTATTCATTAAAACCAAACAGCGTAAAATCACACTGACCATTCGCACATTGAACAGGTGAGCCTCCAAGGTCAAACTGATCTGTTCAAAGATAGTAGTATCAATCAGTAAAACAACTTGTTGAACTAACAAAATTAGATTTGAAGCATGATAATTTTTTTTCTTCAAATATTTGTTGATGTTGATAAAATTGAAATAAATGCACGGAGCAATAAAAGTTCAATTGAAATATTATTGCCACTTTATAAAGCAATTAGGAAAGGATTTTCCAGTCGGTCGGTCACATTAACATGTCTAAAATGGTTATGTAATGTAAACAACGTTATTGCTAAATATCTTATTGTTATAAAAGGTGAAAGCCCTTTCAAGTAAATGACTACTTATTCGAATGGTCTGGGATGTGATTATTTCACCATTTACTTGTATTTAACATATTTCTTTGTTGTTACTGTAATTCCCTTGTTATTACAAACGTCATACCAAGTGCAAGATGTTGTCATTTTTATGCATTTTTGAAATCTTAAATAAAAAAATTCAACCATCGGAAATTAAATTTAAATGATATACGTATGAGGAGCGGAAGGGGTGGGGGGGTTAATAAGACAATGTTTTTGTGAAAATATATAAGAACTGAGGATATTTTAGTAGTTTAGTAAATGATAATGATTTTTTTAAAGGCTTGAAGATTGTTTTTTATAATGAGAATTTTAAGCTTAAAACATTATATATATATATATGTATATATTATATATATATATATATACTTTTGTACTATGGAAAGTGAAAATAAGACTTTATAAATTTTGTAAGTCCGAGGCGATTTTTGAATTTGGCTTCATCAGGGACGTTTAAACCAAACAATGAAATTGAGAGCCAAGGATGTATAAATAATTGAAATCTAAATCTTGGTGATCTTTATGACCAATAGAGACCTTAAACTACTAGTAAGATACATCAACCTCGTGAGGGAGTGTAAACATTAGTTTTTATTTATAATTTCTCAATTAATAAACGAAAAAAATTTTGTGGAAGCGTTTTCTCACATATTATGAATTTCTACATCTTCACTACAAATTGAACAAGATAGAATAAATTTTCTAAATATGATTTCAAGATTTGCTTATTAATAATCAAAATCAGTTTACGCTATAACAATCGACATACCATGCAAATATCCAAGATTTAAATCACAAAAAAAATTGTGGACCGTTCGAAAATAAATAAAGTATGTTTTGCTTTGTGTTGATGCCTCGCTGGTACTTTGGGATGAAGAACAACAATAAAAGCGCTGTTTCTTTGGTTGGGATTTTGAGTCCTGAATTAATACTTAAAAATACTCCATATCCCCTACAACCAGTTACTTTCCGAGTTAGTGTAATAGTCCTAGATATCCCTTCTTTTTTATATGATATTATTATTTCACTTAATTTTGCTTGTACGGTTTTAAGTTGCCATTTTAGGTTGTTCTATCCGTTTTGATAACATTTTGCTGCGTTACTTTTAACAGTTCAACTTGAGTATCATTTTTATGCATTCTTCTCTTATATGCATGTATATGCAGATGAAGACGAAAAAAGTTTTCTTTCGTCCTTATTAGTTTTAATTTAAATATTCCATTTTTGAAGACAACTTTGAAACTTATTTAAAAAAAAAATATCTAATATATATAACAACAAAGCTAAGGCTTTCCAAATAAACATGTTTCCAAACCTTTGATTTCCTCAAATAATGGCTGCCATCCTTGTTCTCTCGTTTTCATTGGTGGAAACAAAAATGGCTACGCTGCAACTTGATAGTATTATCAATTTAAGTTTTTTTTAATTGAAAACAACTGATTAAAAAGTCATCTCGGAAAATATTCTTAGATTTTAAAATTTTGTTATTAGAAAATGAAGAAAAAAATATTTTAACATATATAGATTGGAGACTAACCTTGGTTGGAATTTGTCTGTTTGGCGTGTACTAGAAATAGGTCAAATTTTTTAGACTGTGTCCATGTAATTAAAATAAAATAACGATTTAAACTTTTATATAGCATGCTAGAAATTTTCATTGTTTGCTCTGGAGGTGTCAACTGTTATGTCATTAGTTTGAAATTCTATGTTAATTGAATGACGCCTTGGACTTGATGAATTATAATTTAATTATTAAGAAACTTATTTTCTTTAATATTAATTTAAGATTAGGTAATTAAATCAATTTTTAGGAAAAGTGCATCAGCTGTCAATGAAATAATGTTAACCTGTCATATGAACGTCGTAAACATTTAAAATCAATTGGTCATTTATTTTTTTTCTTCTGAAAATCGTTCAAATAATTTATTATTTTTCTTAACATCGTCCCATAAAAAACGGTTCAAAAACATAATTGTAAAACTACAACAACATTTTTTTAAAGTGTTCAACTCTTGTCATCTTCCTAATTTTTCTTTCTTTCTATATTTCTTTCCTTCTTTTTAATAATTCATCATTTATCTTAATTTAATAGTAAAAAATCTTACCTGATATTCATTTTTTTTTCAAACATTGTTATACTCCATATATAATAAAGTGAATAAATCAATACAATTAACTATATCATTTCCTTGGGATGAAATTACTCATACCAATAAATTTAAAACTTATCCACCGCGACTTTACATTAATAACAATGTAGAGGTGTTTTAGTGATCCGTAGCGGAGAGTCTCAACTAAACACCAGACAGTCACCGAAATTGGACACGACCTTTGAATTGAAACATTTAAAACCAGCTATAGACACGACCTTTTGTACTGAAAAATTTAAAACTAACCATATTGAATGTACTCACAATTACATGACTTATTTATGTAAGACATTGGCAATGGCTTTTGCAAAAACACACATTGCATAAACATCTATGATAAATATGCATGAGCTGTTTTTTTTTTCTTTTTATATGTCTTATAAAAAAATCTTGGTTATTTATTTTTAAAAGATGAATTAAATTAGTTATTCTATTGTAACACTATAGTCTCTCTGTCAATTTTCATTATCTATTACTACCTTATTGAAAATGTTCTCTTGTAAATTTGCACCTCTGACTATATGGACACCCATGCATCGTTGTTATCCGTTCACAAATGCTTCATCACAAATATTTAGCAACACTTGACCTTAACCATATAACTAAAAAACATATATACCTTCTATAAAAAAGTATATTTACTTTTTAGTTGTCTTCCTCAATTTCAACTCAAATTTTCAGTTTTATTCTAAAATATGTGGCTGTCAAATTATAAATAAGACAGAGAATTTTTATAGCTTCATAGTGTGAAAATAGAAAATAGAATGGAAACGGGAAATGTGTCAAAGAGACAACAACCCGACCTTAGAGCAGAAAGTAAATATTAACATAAGAACAATACAGTTTTTTTTACATGAATACAGGAATTTTTTTATGAAGTGGGAAGCCAATATATATATATCATGTATATAATTACGAATAAAAATTTCTAATTACGAATTAAACATTTTACATAAAAAATCTCAGTCAATTTAATTACAAAAAAATATGTTTTTCATTTAAGTCATACACAGGTTAATGCGCTATTTTGCCCGGGACTATTTCAACAGCGTCGGTATAATAGGGTCAGTTTATATTGTAAAACCAAAGAATTGACAAAAAATGTGCATGTATTCTTGATAAAAAAATAGTGTAAACATGTATTTGAACAAAACTTGATGATTCAACGCAATGCAACGGACATCTGTTGCTTTGGCGTTAGCATACATAATAGGGATTAATCAATGTACTATACTTTAAGGTTTATCTTTAAAAATCGATGTCCATATATATTCAGGTGAATTTTGGGCAAAATCTTTGCAAATATTTATAAATTGAAATTTTGAGAATTGACTCTTATTCTTTACTTCATGAAAGATTTTTTTGAAAATCAAAATGTGGATTGAAGCAGTTTTTCAGAACGTGAAACCTTTCACTCTTATGTCAGATCTAATCCCATTTCCAATTATAAATGCATAAGTGGACGATTTAATTTTCGTAAAATATATGATTGAACAAATGTAAATGAAGTTGCTACTATATTTGAATGTATTTAAACATAAATAGTCGACGTTTGGGTGTAAGCAATTGATCTCATGACTGGCTAACCCTTTTTAGGGTTCATTCAACATATGCCAAAATTTTGAAGTAAGATATAGAATTGTATGAAAAAATGTTGGCATAGGCTGAAAAAAACATTAAAAAAATATGTGTTATAAAACATAAAGTAATTAGAGGCTAATCAATTTACAACCAGTTTAAACTGAGTTTTAAAGTGTACTAAAACTATTTTTGTTACATGCAAGAATGAAAATTGTATTTGTGGCTGGTCTATTTTATATTATGAATTCGCATAATAAAACAATGAAATTTAGGGATTTTTAAGAAAAAATATTATTGGAATAATCATCCATGACTCATAAAAATAAATATCAGCATTATTCTGTCCCATTCTCGTTAATATCATACACTATATGATGAAAATATTTAATGATAATTTAAGTAAAATTACATCAAATAGAATTGAGCAGTATTAAGATTTGATTGACATTGGAAAGTGTTTTCTATTCACATGTCAGTATTGCTATGTTCAGTATTTCCATGTTTTTTTATTATACAAAAACACATATCTCATATATCATATATCATATATCATATATCATAACGACTGATATGAGAATTAAATACAATCTTACAATAAGCACTATAAAAATCCTACTGTAGAAAAAGTAGGGTCTTTTTAGAAAACTAGAGGCTCCCAAGAGCCTGTGTCGCTCAACTGATTCTACTTTGGTTTTGGAAATCAAGTAAAAACAGATTAAAATAATAACAGATACCCTAATAATGATTGAGGCCAAATTTGGTTTAATATTGGCGCCGTAATTTAATCAAAAATCCTGGTGGCCATCTTGAACAGTAAATCGAAAACAAAGTAGCAACACTTCATCAGCTCCTCATAAGGAACAATTATGCCATGTTTGGTTTCATTCCATTCAGTGCTCCTCTAGAAGAAATATTTGTATCGGGTCTTATTTTAAACTAAGTCCCCTGCTGGCGGCCATCTTGGATGATGGTTCGGCTACAAAGTAACAACACTTGGTCAGCACCTCTAAAGAAACATTCATACCATGTTGGTTTCAATCCGTTAAGCGGTTTTCTAGAAAAAGACATTTGTATATATTCATGCCATGTTTTATTTCATTCCAATCAGTGTTTCTCTAAAAGAAGACATTTGTATATATTTCACATAGGGTCCTATGTAAACCAAGTCCCCCCTCTGGCGGCCATCTTGGATGATGGATCGGCTTCAAAGTAACAACACTTGGTCAAAACCTCATAAGGAACATTCATGCCATGTTTGGTTTCATTCCATTTAGCGGTTCTCTCTAAAAGAAGACATTTGTATGTATTGTCCACAGGATCCTATGTTAAACGAAGTCCCCCGCTGGTGGCCATCTTGGATGATGGATCGGCTACAAAGTAACAACACTTGGTCAGCACCTCATAAGGAACATTCATGCCATGTCTGGTTTCATTCCATTCAGTGGTTCTCTAGAAGAAGTTCAAAATGTAAAAAGTTAAGGACGACGACGGACGACGACGACGACGGACGACGGACACCAAGTGATGAGAAAAGCTCATTTGGCCCTTCGGGCCAGGTGAGCTAAAATACTGTGTATTTATTGCTATTTGGTATGTTATTAAAACTACTGTAAACAGTAAAAAATGTATATATGTAGCTTAAATGTTATGATGAACCAATATTATTTGTTGCGAATATCACATATTCTGGCCATTCCAGATCTGAAAATTTCAGAAGGGGTCTGACATAGTCCCCACATACATGCTATATACATTAATATAATAATATACCACGACTCATACGTCCTTAGCATATTGTAATTCTCTGTATATCGAAATTGACTTCTGGAGCACTTATAAAAATGTGTGTGTACTTTTATTTTAGAAATAATTGTCAAATTCAACAGGAAACAATTTTTCTAATGCGTAGAAATCATAGATTAAAAATAAAGCCCTTCAGCTCATTCACAACTGGACAAAGCCAGTATGTATATACATTTTTACATTTTTACAAAAATATATAAATATATAAAGTGACTAAGATTTTATGCTCTTCCTAGCTTCAAGGCTCAGCACTTGCCATAAATGAACAAATTGTGTAAATTCATAAATAAAATGTTTTTTTTTACTTTATTGTTCTAGATTTTTTTTAAGCATGTTTTTTTTTCATACTTAAAACCAAAAAATAAATGCAAGTGATTAGCATTTTATTGTATTATTTTTGTCTATTTTTTCAAATTTCATATTATCTACAATATAATTTTGCAAGTGTTTTATTGTTCTTTCTTATATACTTAAAAGGAATAATTATCTTTGCTGAAAAAATACTGACTATATTTTAACTGGAATAAATTGTTAGTTGTTATAACAACGCCTATTGTATTTCGTTTGTTGGCATAAGTTGAATATTTATTTTTCAAATGTTGGCATAGGTTGAAGACACCCCCTTTTATGAACCAGAGGGTATCCTGTGATAGCAACAACCTATTTCAATAAAAAAAAAACGTAAAAAAATTACAAAAAGGGCTGAAGCAATTTCCCTTTTTTCAATTTAAAAACCGTCAAGAACTTTAGGCATTACACGTTATTTTGTAATGATACAAAGTGGTGATCAGAATTTATTAGCGTTTTCATATCTAGAAAAATCTTTCTTTGGATTCCTTTATTGGCGGATTCAGAGTACGCTGGTTCCGAGGATCGGGTATCCAGCTTAATTACCATTTATGTCATAATTAATAATAACACCCGTTCTCTTTTCCTCGAATATTACTTTACCGAATTAAATTTAATATCACCGATTTTGTACTTACATGCGCAACACGACGGATGTCACATTTAGAGCAGGATCTGATAATTTGTCCAGAGCACATAATATCACCGCGGATTTTGGTGGGTTTTGTGTTGCTCAATTATCAGTTTTTTATGTTGTGCTTTGTAGACTGTTGAGTGTCGTTTGGTCGTCTTTCGTTTTTTTGCCAGGGCATTGTCACTTTATCTTCTACTTATGAGTTTGAATAGCCATTTGGTATCTTCTACCTTTCCCTTGTAATCAAGAGATATATTTAAATGAAAATGATAAGACTAATAGAATCTTCTCTCTAGACAATTCCTGGTAGCCTTTTCCTCCTGATTTTTATGATTACTTAAAGATGTCCTTTTGGATTTATTCATTTATGTGAAATAAAAACAGTAATCCGACGCAAGTTCACAAACGTTTACAACTATAAATGCATGAATGATGTAACATAAAATGAATGTTTTGAAACCCAATACACATACCAACTAAAGAGTACATAAACAAATGCTATAACTTATATTTCACAGACTGTTTGAGTAAAAATAATTAGAATTATTTTTAAAATATATCATCTTTTTAAAAAATGTCTTTGTTGTAAAAATGTGAACCAGAAATTAAAATAAAATATCTATAAAAGCTTTCTTATATTTCAAATTTAGTCACACCAAGGATTGGATTGCGTTGTTTAAACTCTTAAATAGGACAAATTCGCATTTGAAACAGCTCACAGTCTTTTATCACTATGCAACCTGATTTTTCGT